AATAGAATTGTCAAGAAATACTTTGTCACTGTCACTGTCCTCCCATTGTTCATCAATTTGTTCTAGCTGGTGCCAGTAATGCTTCCATTGTGAGACTTGTTGCTACTGTTTTTGGCATATTGAATACATCACGGGTAGCTTGCCAGGCTTTGCTGTGCGGGTGAGATACTCTCGGTATCTCGGAATCGAACTCGAGTCGGCTGCATGCAAGGCAAATGCCCTATCCACTGTAAAAACGTTCTCTCTATTCTAATAAAGAGAATTAGATATTTTGTTTCATGAGTTTACTCTTCAGCTGTAATGTGTAGACTGAGAGAAGTAACTCACGGAAGATGATAATAGTCCCTTCAAATATCGAAGGTTAGTAATCAGATAAGATGGAACCAAACTTTCACTTTTAAGTTCTATATGACAAATGTAGGACCACATGTCTATATATGCAAAAATAATACAATTTAATGAAAAGCTGGACAGCAAATCATTCTTTCAGAACAATTGTCATAGTCTCATGAATAGATTTCTGTGATTCTAAGACATTAAGCTATAAGCAAGTTATTTCATTCATTAAATAAAAATTTTAAATACATTTCATTTAATTTTTCCCTAGAAAATGAACTGTGTTTCCTAAAAGTTCTGTCCTGAGGCTAAAATATTTCATTCAAGTTCTGTGAATATAAGTTCAGTTGACAAATAATGAGGTTTAAAAAAGCTTTTGTAATGGAGGGCTCTTCTGGACTTCTACATCCAAAAATGCTTTTCTCCAAAGGATGAATACAATCATTGCAGTGTTGGAGCGACAGCACAGTGGAAGGGCTTTTGCCTTGCACGCAGCCGGCCTGGCCAAGCTGGGTTCAATTCCTCCACCCCTCTCGGAGAGCCCAATATTATCTCGCCTGCATGGCAAAGCCTGACAAGCTACCTGTGACGCATTCAATATGCCAAACATAGTAACAACAAGTCTCAAAATGGAGACGTGACTGGGCCCGCTCGAGCAAATTGATGAACAACGGGAGCACAGTGTTTGTTTGACAGTGACAGCAGTGTTTTCTAAGCCACTTAGCTATAAAGACGTGTGTGTGTGTGTGTGTGTGTGTGTGTGTGTGTGTGTGTGTGATTTCCCCCATCACCACAATTAACAGTGGAAGACACAAAAGCACAACAGTCCTTCATGAAAATAAAATTGGTTTATCATATTCTGTAAGAAGAGGAAGGTAAAAATATTAGATTACAACTAGAAAATTTTCTTGGGGAAGGTTTCAGATCTATGACCAAGAATTAGGTGCCTACAGTCAATGGGAAAAGGAAAGCCACTGTAATACTGTAATTGTTTAGACCTGTACTTTAGGTGTGCAGTTATCTAGAGAATGAATTGCTAAGGAGAAAGGCTATGGCCTTTGGAAACTCCACAAATAATCTCCAGACACAAATGAAGGCGTGCCATGCTACGACAGTAACCAGCAACACCCACACACAGAAGAATACTCTGCTCAGTTCTGAGAAGAAACTGCCAGTAGATGCCAATCACTTTTACTCGTGAAACCAGGGTGAAGTTCTCTGAATGTTTGTAAAGGCACTGAGAGAAAAAATGTCTGAATTGGAAATATAAAAAGAGCATTTTCCGTGCAGACCAAAGAGCACAGTGCCTCTGAGAGTACTTTGTCTGAGGAAAGGCAATCAATTAAATTCGTGCTGAACTGCGACTTCTCTTATCAATTTCTCTTTTGCTAACTGGTCAAGTATTAAAACGTACAATAATAAAAAGAACCATATTTTCTGCATGAGCTTTAAGTTATTAATTTAAAGAGTCACAAGGACCTTCATGTGGAAAATTTGACCTAAGGCAAGGACAGAAGATAGAAAATAAATATTTTAGCTGACGCTCTCGACCCGATTTTATTTTTTGATAAAAGAGAAATTTGTATTACCTGCTTAAAAACAGATTAACAGTCCTATGTTCAGTGATTAAGACAGAACTGAAGGAACCCCTGAGGAAAGGGCCCAGACGACTTCAAATCAGAGAGCCCTGGGTTCACGCCTTTGCTAGCCTTATGGTGAGAGCGAGATTACTACTTTATCCTCCAGAGTCTTGGTTTTCTCATTTACAAAGGAGACTTCGAAAAATGATCTCCTAAGATGTCTGTGATGATGGCATGATATTATATATGGACGGTGTTGTGTATAAAGCTTAAAATTTTTCATTATTGATAATATGTTGCTAATGTGAGAATCACCTAAAAACAGAAAAGAAACATGTAAAGGTTTATTACAATTTCAAACCAACCTGGATTTTCTAAACTCCCTTGCTTCTTCATAAAGGAAGAACATTTGCTTTTCAACAGTGAATCTTAGTACCATGGAAACAGGGGTCGAAAAGGCTTCAAGTAAATAGAAAGCAGCAAGCTTATCTTAGAAAAAAATGTAATCAGAACATTTTGAGCAGATCAAGAATTTTCTGGAGCCATGAAGAAACATAAACACTAAATGCTATATTATGAAATTAAGAGATTCTGAGTACTGAAATATTCTCAATTATTTACTATCAGCCATTTCAATTTTTTATGGTTTTTGCACGACATATGTGCAAGAAAGACAAAGGTGATTTAAAAGATGAAAAGACAAATAAAAACAATAATATGGATGGTGATTAAGTCATTTTGTAATCTATGTACAGCTCTGAACAATGAGTACAAATAACTGTGTGTCATACTTCAGGACAAGAATCAACACCAATTTTGTTTCATTACGTGTGTGTGTGTGTGTGTGTGTGTGTGTGTTGTGTGTGTAGTTTGTTTGATTTGGAGCCACACCTAACTGTGCTTACTCCTGGCTCTGTGTTCAGGGTTCACTCCTGATGGTGCTGTGTGGAACATATGTGGTGTCGGTGACTGAACCCAGATCAGCCCAGTGCAAGGCAAGTGCCCTACCCACAATCACTGTATTGCTGTATCACTCTCACCCCATTGTTCATCGATTTACTGGAGCCGGTGCCAGTAACTTCCCAGACCTGAGATTTTTAGCAGTCTCTCCTTATTCATCTTTCCCAGTGATTGGAGGCTCTTTCATGGTCAGGGGAATGAAACCTGTTATAGTTACTGGTTTTGGCATATCGAATATGCCACAGGGAGCTTTCCAGGCTCTGCCCGTGCAGGTGGGATACACTTCCTAGCTTGCCGGGCTCTCTGAGAGGTATATATTTATACATTTCCCTCTATGCTGCCTACTGTCTGAACCCCATCAAAAATGGTGTGATAATTATGGAAAAATGGATAGGAAGTGTCTCATAATGTGTCGAGAAAGCGGCCTGGAGCACAGTGGTAGTTGGGTAGTGGAGGTCGGCTTCTGAGGCTGGGGTCCCTTGGCGTGGTGGGGCTCTCACCGGCCCCACAGCCTGGCGCTGAGTCCAGAGGCATGGTTATGGGGAGGATTTTTTACTTTATTCTCATTCCAAAGCAAACATGGGCTTCTAAGATGCAAATACTTCTTTGGATACTAAATTTTTAATAAAGTGTTAGATAAAAAGTGAAAAACAAGAGTCTGAGTGATAGCAGGGTTGGTAGGACATTTGCCTTGCACACAAGTGAGCTGGACTCAACCCCCCAAATGGTCCCAGGAGTGATCCCCTGCTAACTATTCCTTTAGTTCTTGTATGTCTCCCCTGAATTTGAAAAAAAAATTTGATTCTTTAAAATACATTTTATAGGAAATAAAATATTTTCAAAGAATCAATTTACTAAAAATAATTCATATGAAATAATAAAAATCATACATTCTGAAGATGACTACCGTTGGGGGCACACCTGTATATATGTCACTGTGAAGTTTGCAGATCACTCATTATTAAAAGTTGTAATTTCTAACCTTTCTTCATAGGTGTTTTCGTGAACTTTACAGTAGAGATATGCCTAGATATGTCTGCCTCCTTTCCTGGCTTTATGTTTTCTTTCTTTTTCATCTCACCTTAAAATCTGTGGGTCTGCAATCTTTACAAACAAATGATCTGAAACAAAATCCAATTCACTGAAGAGTTCAAAGACATCTGGTGCAGTTATTTCCTATGCAATTAGGCCATGAGGTTAGCCAATTCCCTGAAGAAAGCTTCTCTACAGTTGGGTACCCAGTCATTCCCACATTCACCATCTCGCACAGAATGAGAATTTCTATTCATATGATGATACAAAATTATGTATAATTGCGATCTGATTTTCTAAGACCATTTACATTATAAAATTATGTGTCTCACATGATTTTAAAAAAATGACATCCTCTAAAAATCTTTTCTATTTTTTTAGGTTCTGTCACCACAATTTACTTCTACACACAAGACAGTGAACTTAAATGTCCCTCACATTAATCCTCGGGGTGAAGGGAACGTTTTTATACAAACAGAAAAGTATGTAGAATGTGGCTCTTGAAAAACATTTTTCATTTGAGTATGGAGGAATATTTCTGAGGATTAATGAAGATTGTTAAATGTTCCCATTTGGTCATATTTGTTACTGTGAAGTTTGCAAATACTGATCAGTCAACAGACAACGTTTATACCCACCCCTGCTCTGCCTTCAATTCTATACTTTCATTATACTCAATAATTTTTAATTAAATTTAGCTAGAAGTCAATAATTAGGATCATTTCTTCTTAAGTTAAGGATATGTCATGTTGTTAATATATCATATAAATAAATTGATATATATATGGGAAATCATGCATGCATCTTTCAATCAACTACTGAATAAGAACCCAATCTATTTGCTACCATAAAATATATTCTTAAGTATGAGTCAAGTCTTGATTATATACCATTCAAAAAGAATTAAATCAAGATTGATCATATTTTATATCACAATCACAGAACCATCAAATCATTATTAAAAATATTGCGAAATTTTGCCAAAAAATAATCCCATTTTTAACTTCACTAAGCAGAAAACACCATGAAAATACTCCAAAAATGGAGAGCAAGAGATCCTAAATGGCAGATCAGGTGTAGGAGAAAACTCACCAGAAGTCTCGTCTACTCTCTCGTCGACGGTGTGGTCCTTCTGATGAACCCACTCACTGTTGCACTTGAAGTAGATCTGGGTAGCAGGGCTGGCTTTGCAATGGAGGTTCACAGGCTTATTCTTCACAATATAAGCTTCTTCTGGCTCAATAAGGAAGTGTGGAAGAGGCTCAGGTGGGTCAGATGGGAATGATTCTGGGAGTTCATGAAAAAAGTCATCATCTAATAAAGAAAGAACAAAGCAGTAACTATGCAAAGCATCCTATCACTTGCCTTTTACTTGATAAACTTTAAAAAGGAGCGACTTATTTAAAGAATTTGAATGTCTTCTATGACATCAGACAGTTTGGCCTGTTAACAGAGTTACCCATTTAGGATTTATATCAATATTCTCAACTTTGAGCACAGCAAAAACTCAACATCATAGAATAAATACCCTTTCCTTAGCAAACAGTTAATAGGAGCTCAGGTAGGATCAGAACGTCAGTTTGTCCCCCTTATAGACAGTGGGTTTTCCAGTTAAATTGCTATACCTCCAACTCTACATTATAACTCTTATAACTGAAAAAAACATAAGCATTCCCAGTAGAAGAAAATCCTGTGAAGTGCATAAGGCACGTAATCATTAAACTCGTCTCCAGAAGAAGACCAGGAATGCAAGAAATGTAAATGAAGAGTCTTTAAGCTTAGGCTCAAGCCTGCAATTATTTTCAAAACATATAATTCGTTCATTTAGCCACAAATTTCATCGTCCTCAGAATTACCCCAGCACTAAAGAGAAAGACAATAACAAGTCAGCCTATGGAGAACCTAAAACCTAGGGGCTATCTGGCCTTGTTTGGACATTGTAAGTTAAAGGTTATATGGGAATTGGAAGTCCAATCCCTTCCCAATCAGAGGTTTCCACACATATTTGACCTAAGGATTCGTTTTCAGGAAAAAAATAGAAAAGCTTTCAGAACCCACTGGACGTCAACCTTCTCTAAGCGACCACTTGCCAAACAATCCCCACTCATTCTCCTCAATTCATTCCCAACTTTCCTCCTAACATCACACAGTTTTTACCAAATCTTGGAATTCATGTTACTAAGGGATTTGTGGCTTTTGCAGGGACGCCAGGCGATGTTCAGGGGTTCCTCCTGGCTCTGCACTCAGGAACTACTCCTGGCGGTGCTTGGGAGACTATATGGGATGCTGAGGATCAAACCTGGGTCTGCCACATGGAAGGCAAACGCCCTACCCACTGTACTATTGCTCAGCCCCAGGATTAATCTTATTGTTTCCTGACAGGTTAACTTTAAGTCTAAAGTTAACCTACAGAAATGACCCAATCAGCAACAGCATATTTATTCATTAATATTGGTAATATGCTCTAAGTTGACTCACTTGAGGCAATATAGCATATCAATCCTAGTATTCAACTGGATTGGAAGTGCTGGAAATTACATATCACAAAGGTATTTTCTAAATTATTAATAAGATATGTGTAGGGGTATCATATGAAAAATTCAAATGGGCTCAAGGGATGCTGTCAAATTATTTCCCTCAAAATTTCAATATGTGGCCTTGGTACCATGCCTAGCCATGACAACCAGCCCAAATGGCAACTTCTCACTATAGGGCAAAGCATGAGAGAAAGAATCCATACCTTAATCTATATGAAAATGGAAAATGTCAATATTGATTTGGAAATGTGGTGGCATCATGAGCATTATCCTTCTGTGAAATTAATTATTTAAAATTATTTTTAAAGCTCCAAGAGATGGTACAGTGGTTAAGGTGCTTGCCTTGCATGTGCCCTGCTGTGGTTAGATCCCAAGCACCACAAATGGTCTCTGAGCACCAGAGCCAGGAAAGAGCCCTAAGCACCCTGCTGTAGTCCCCAAACAAATTTGTCTAGAGTAACTTTCAGAAATCAATAACCCAATTCTCTTCAACCAAAGTGCACAATCATTCAGGGCATTTAAATAGTTAAGATGCTTCTGTCCATGAATACTTAGCATACAAATACTTCATGAATATTTGGGCCCTGTGCACTAGGCATTTGCCTCACATTAGATCGTTGAGTCTATTTTTCACCATTGGCAGTTTGATGTAAGTATTCTCAATTTCCAAAGCAAGAAATAATGACAAATGTTTAACTCTATTCTGAAAGCAATTTGAAGGCAGTGACTACATTATTCCTATTTTTATCTTCCTAAATCTATTATGTTGCCAGAAACATCATAGAAGGTCAATAAAAATCTTATGAAAGTACAAATATTATACTAATGATAACTCTGATTCCCAAGAGACTTGCACAGCATTTCAGAGTTTATGGCGAGATATTTGTTCAAAATATAGAATGTCATAGCAGTAGTAAGATCCACAGACTGGTCTGGCTGCAAAATTTGTGAGGCTTGGTCCAGAATGAAAATCCAGAAAGCATCGATGGAAATGTATTAAATGCTTGCAGCTGACGATAACAGGACATTAAAGCAATGATAGCAACGCGCTTGGCACAAGCCACTTTCCAGAACGCTGGTTCTCTCTACAAATGTCAGTTACCTGAGTTTTCTACGTATCATAGAAAGGCTGAGAAGTCAAATGGCACATTCATTAGTGGATATTCATCTTAGATCTTAATTTTTATTAGTGTCTACAGGCGACTGAATGTCAGTGTCTCTAGGTGAAAGAAGATTTAGTTGTTAGAATGGAGAAATCAGGTTCTCATTAATTCTCTTAGCAAGTATATTTGCAGTGGTTTGTAAGTAAGCGTATAATTTTATCTCCTTATGACTTTCCCATTTACTATTCAAGAGGTAATGCAGGGCCTGATCCCAAAAAAGCAAAATCCCTGTCACAGTGAGATTAACTCTTTCAAGTCTTGGAAGACTTTAATACTGACAGATAGCAAGGTTTGAAATTCTACCGTGAAAGGTAAACTATAAACTGGTATCAGTTCCTGGCTGGAAATTTACTTAGCTATAAAAATAAACCAGTTTTCAAGCTTTCAGATACAATTAAAGTTAGGATACAATTAAAGTTAGGCTACCACAAAATATAAAAGAATCACCTGACTTTATCTTTGGCTTTTGGTGACCCCAGCTATGCTCTGCACTCAGGGCTCTGGACAATCATTCCTTGTGAGGTAGGAGGGTGGGGAGACCACACAAGCAAGGTACAGGTGACCAAACCCAGGATGGTCCCATGCCAGACAAGCGCCCTACCCACTGCACTCCCTCTCCGACACCCAAGAACAATTTTATTCTTCATCAGGAAGATAAGTGAGTGCATCTTCTCAACAACTTATTTATTAATATCAATATCTCCAGAGTCGACTGACAATTTCCATTAGGGTAAATATTTGTAAATAGCAATCACAATGGTGACCTTACTTCCTTTTTTTTTTTTTTTTTTTTTTGCTTTTTGGGTCACACCCGGCGATGCACAGGGGTTACTCCTGGCTGGCTCTGCACTCAGGAGTTACTTCTGGCTGTGCTCAGGGGACTATATGGGATGCTGGGAATTGAACCCGGATCGGCTGTGTGCCACTATGCTATCTCTCCAGCTCCCTTGACCTTAGACCGAATGTGACAGAAAGACTGCACACTCCAGAACTTGGCACTGACTCCAATATGTAACTCCCAATGATCTGACCAACTGTATTGTTAACTATGTTTTCCACGTGCCATTTCTTCAAATTAGTGAGATTCCATTTCCAAAGCTGTCTTTGGTTCTATAATTGAATTCAGCAATAAAGTTATAATTGTGATTTTAATTGAAAGACAACAGCACAATCATTAAGATCCTTTAAGGAAAGAACTGAGCAGTGCTCCGAAGTGACTCCTCAAAGCCAGGGATGCCGGGAAGCCACGCTGCCAGTATTCCACTCAGAACGCAGTGACACATGCTGTCCCCGTGAGTCTCACCCTTCCCCTGCCTTCATTTCCTTATACTCCTTTAATCTGACTTAATTTTCAAATTTCTATCAGATAATTTGATAATAGTCCTGTCATATTTATATTTATAAGGTAAAGTGCAATACTCTCTGTTACCTCATAAAAACCTTTTGTTTACTTTACGAGATACTTTATGTCATATACTTACTATTTTTATGCATTTTCATTCCATCTAATACTTGACAAGTACATATTATGATGTGAACATCAATCTGGGAAACTTTCGGTTGTTACTTTTATTTCTATATTGCAAGCCTTGACTTTCATCAATTTAACTCATAAGTTTCTATATGTCTGAAGCATAAGACTTACACTATTATTGCCTTATCATAAAACACAAGACTATTATCTTTTTTGTTTGAGACCTGAAGCATATTCTTCTGAAATGAAATTTACTTCCAAATGATTCAAGAGCAATTTAAAATGAATGACTGCAAAGCTAATTTTATCTGCATTTCAGTGCCCATCCATCAGAGAGATAATTCATGATATATTGCAACAAATGGCAGCTGGAATTAACTACTTCAACAAAAGAGCTTATTTTAAATATTTTTATCAAAATATTCTTTGGGAGACAAAGCATATTATCTCTATTTCAAGAAATGCAGCAATGAGTTAATTCGTTAAATTTAAATAGTCAAATATATAATGTCTTAAATGCACTAGATAATATGGAGTTACTAAATAATTTCTAACTTCAGAAAAAAACCCTTTTATTCTGGTTTCAGGGATTATTTGTTTGTTCATGCCCCTACATATTAGTGACATAAAGTCACATGCTCTCTGGTGCATCCCTGGGAGAGAAGTCATTCTCATCCCAAGCCTAAACACGTGTGACCCATGTTTGCTGGTATTAACTCCCCCATCCGCGCTGATAATCTCTCCCTCTGCTGTGCCATGTGCTCTATACTGTGCACTTGGAGAATTTTTTAAAAGTACACGTATGCTTTTATTCACCTAATTGAATAAATGCAATATAAGACATACAGTTTCCTTTTGCCTATCAAGTTTTCTAAAAGCATCCTAGAAGGATTGATGGCTAAATGGGACATGTTCATTTGCATATAATGGTTCAAACATAAATAGACGTAATAGTAGAGAGAGCCTGGCCATATAAATAAACATTAACTCTCTGAACAGCTTTGGGTAAGTCATCCTACTTTCTTGAATCAACGTTGTAACGTTAATGGATATTTATGTACACACATCCACATAAACACCTCATAAATATATAAGTACATGCACATATGTTTACTGCAGCATTGCTATTAAAAAGAAAAT